GTCATGGAAATTTTAACCTGCAAAACTCGCTAAGGTTTTCCGGTTTCTATACCTAGTGGGCCAAGCAAAACTCCGGGAAACGCCCTGAAGAACCGTAAAGCTTAAAAAAAAATGCACCGTTGCCAAATAGTCTAATCGAATCTCCAATGTGGCCAACACAAGACATCGAAACCACTTCTGGCAAGTTTAACAAGGCGAAAACTCCCAAACGGCGGCAGCTGCAACTGAAACTTGCTAAACCGAAAATATTGCCAAGATCCCCAGCATTCAGAAAATGTTACATTTGGCAACACTGTTGTTGCCAAATAGCCAGTTATCAAGTCGTTTTGTACACAGCGCCCTTAGAAACTCTTCTGAATGTTCACATGCAAGAATCTCCAAAGTTCTCGGAACCGCATACTTGGTGACCCAAAAAAAAACTTTCCAACTTCGAAGGGAACAGAAAAACACCTGAAATTTACAGTGTTGCCGATCAATCTGGCCCATTTTCTCGAGCAGTGCAAATGAAGGTTTTAAAACCATTTACGGGAAGCTTCACAAGACGAAAACTCCTCAACGCTTAACGCTGCGGCTCAGTTTGACTGGACGTAAAAGATTTAGTAAATTTCCCGGAGAGTAAGCCGGTGTAGGATCTGGCAACAGCGGAAGTGCGCAACATCCGGTCGACCAGAGGTTTTCACCGAAGCCCTTGAGGGCACGTGAGAATGTTTAGCTGCAAAAACATCCAGATTCTTGCAGATTTTCCGGAAAGTGTTGTAAATGAAAAATACTCTAAATATCCCCATGAGCCGAAAAACGTTGCAAAAATGCCCCGCTGGCAGTGAACCTAACCTAATTTTGCTAGGTTTACAAGCAACGGAGCAAATCCCTTGGAGGAAAGTTTGACAGGGCGAAAACTCCTCAGCACTTGAAGTTAGGATTGACGTTCACTAGACTGAAAAGGAGGGGAATTTTCCTAGCATTGCACCAGTGTGACAGTTGGCAACACTGTGCAAGGAAAACATCCAGTTTAGAGGGTGTTTTCACCAGGGCTCCCCTAAGCAGAAGTCAAAATGTTCGTCTTCAAAAATTTCCAGTTTGCTGAAGTTTCACTGGAAAGTGTCGTCAATGAAAAATCCTCTAAATATTCCCATAAACCGAAAAACGCCGCAAAAATGCCCCGCTGGTGGTGAACCTAACCTAATTCCGCTAGGTTTACAAGCAACGGAGCAAATCCCTTGGAGGAAAGCTTGACCGGGCGAAAACTCCCCAGCAGTTGAAGTTAGGACTGACTTTTGCTAGACTCAAAAAGAGGGAAATTTTCCTAGCATTGCAACAATTCGAAAGTTGGCAACACTGTGCAAAGAAAACATCCAGTTTAGAGGGTGTTTTCACCAGGGCTCCCCTAAGCAGAGATCGAAATGTTCGTCTTCAAAAATTTCCAGATTGCTGAAGTTTCACCGGAAAGTGTCATCAATGAAAAATCCTCTAAATATTCTTATAAACCGAAAAACGTTGCAAAAATGCCCCGCTGGTAGTGAACCTAACCTAATTCCGCTAAGTTTACAAGCAACGGAGCAAATCTCTTGGAGGAAAGTTTGACCGGGCGAAAACTCCTCAGGAGTTGAAGTTAGGACTGACGTTCCCTAGACTGAAAAGGAAGGGAATTTTCCTAACATTGCACCAGTGTGACAGTTGGCAACACTGTGCAAGGAAAACATCCAGTTTAGAGGGTGTTTTCACCAGGGCTCCCCTAAGCAGAGATCGAAATGTTCGCCTTCAAAAATTTCCAGATTGCTGAAGTTTCACCGGAAAGTGTCGTCAATGAAAAATCCTCTAAATATTCCCATAAACCGAAAAACGCCGCAAAAATGCCCCGCTGGTAGTGAACCTAACCTAATTCCGCTAGGTTTACAAGCAACGGAGCAAATCCCTTGGAGGAATGTTTGACAGGGCGAAAACTCCTCAGCACTTGAAGTTAGGATTGACGTTCACTAGACTGAAAAGGAGGGCAATTTTCCTAGCATTGCACCAGTGTGACAGCTGGCAACATTGTGCAAGGAAACCATCCAGTTTAGAGGATGTTTTCACCAGGGCTCCCCTAAGCAGAAGTCGAAATGTTCGTCTTCAAAAATTTCCAGATTGCTGAAGTTTCACCGGAAAGTTTCCTCAATGAAAAATCCTCTAAACATGCCCATGAACCGAAAAACGACGCAAAAATGCCCCGTTGGTAGTGAACCTAACCTAATTCCGCTAGGTTTACAAGCAACGGAGCAAATCCCTTGGAGGAAAGTTTGAC